GGAAGGGGGAGGGGAAAGGGAAGGGGAAAGGGAAGGGGAAAGGGAAGGGGAAAGGGAAGGGGAAAGGGAAGGGGAAAGGGAAGGGAAGGGGAAAGGGAAGGGGAAAGGGAAGGGGAAAGGGAAGGGGAAAGGGAAGGGGAAAGGGAAGGGGAAAGGGAAGGGGAAAGGGAAGGGGAAAGGGAAGGGGAAAGGGAAGGGGAAAGGGAAGGGGAAAGGGAAGGGGAAAGGGAAGGGGAAAGGGAAGGGGAAAGGGAAGGGGAAAGGGAAGGGGAAAGGGAAGGGGAAAGGGAAGGGGAAAGGGAAGGGGAAAGGGAAGGGGAAAGGGAAGGGGAAAGGGAAGGGGAAAGGGAAGGGGAAAGGGAAGGGAAGGGGAGAGAGGAGCGGAGAGGAAAGGAAAGGAAAGGAAAGGAAAGGAAAGGAAAGGAAAGGAAAGGAAAGGAAAGGAAAGGAAAGGAAAGGAAAGGAAAGGAAAGGAAAGGAAAAAGATTTATTGATTAAGTTTGGAAAAAAGTATTTGCATTAATCCCAAAAGGTTCTCTCATGTAATCAATTATGGAAGTTTTAATTAAACTAAGCTACTATTATCATCTGCAAGAACAGGTTTAATTATCAAAGTATATTTCCATGCAAGAGAAGGAGGTAAAGTGACAGCACTCTGGATAAGGCAGACAGTAAACAGCTGGAAGCTAACCTAGCACGCATTGATATCTAGGTGAATGAAGAGTGGGGTTATAGTATTATATATAGTATAAAAACAGGTCTGAGGAAAGATGAGAGTCACTCTCAGAGATGATCATCAGGAATTAGAAAAATATATGTACAAAACACTGCCTCTGACTACACTGAGTTAAGCATTCAAATAAACAGGCTAGGCTGCTACACCAGAAAAAAAAAATCAACTATTGCATATAAGATTGACAATGGGTACCAATCAGCTGGTTGAATGACAAAAGTTTCAAATGCCATCAATCATTTTAATAACATTATCTCAGTCATCACACCACTAGAGCTAGTGAATTCCATTTGTCCAGCACAGCTTCCTTTCCATAAAAATAAGATGGGATAGTTTAATTTTTATGGTACTATGAAGATCCTGCCCTTCAAAAGCACCCTTGTTGAGACTCATGCAAATTCGTAAGGGAGAGGGGAAATAATAAATGGAAATTACAAATAAAATAGAAAACACAGTAATACTATTAATAATAAACAATGCAATGAATAGAAAAGGAAAATATAAAAATAGGTAAAAAATAATGCTAATAAAAATAACACAGACATTGGTTTGTGATTGAGTCACCATCCCTAGAGGTATTTAAAAGACATGTAGATGTGATATTTAGGTACATGGTTTAGTGGTGGACTTAGCAGTGCTAGTTTAACAGTTGGACTTGATCTTAAAGGTCTTTTGCAACCTAAACAATTCTATGATTCTATGTTTTCCAAGATAGGCAATAGTAGACAATAGGCAATGTAGACAATAATCTATAATAAAGATCATAATCTATAATAAAGATAAAACTTTCTGATACTGCTGCCTATATTACTTGATTAGACCAGACTTAAAACTGAGTGTAAGCCTTTGAGTAGTTTCTGTGGTTTTTATACCAAATCTAGAACACATATATTTTAGAGAACCACAGGAAAAGGGTTTTACAGAACTACTGGTTGATAACTAGTTTTTAAACATAGCTTTAAAGTAAAAAACCCCAAAACAAAAAAAGTAGAATATTAAAATATAATCATTACAAAATTATGGTAAATAGTTTCTTATATTTTTGCAATTAGCTTCAGACTAAAAATTCCTGATTTGTGTGCCACCACAGATATCTTCAAAGTATAGATTATTTCACTATAGTGCTGCAATGTGGTAAACAGCCTGCATAAAACCACATCTATTCCGATTCACAGTGGTATTGAACAAAGTTAATTAATGTAAGGCAGTTGATTTCAATTATGTAATGGCCTTTTAGTTCCATCCTATATCCTCATCAGCTAAACTTGCATAATTATAGTAATCTAGAGGCTTGTCTCCCCTCTTAGTCAAGTACAATCCTGTAATTCCCATCAGCTTCAGCAGCACCTGGATTCATTCCTCAGAACAGGATCTAAAAAATACACACAAACTTCTTCCTCTTCCTTCCCTTCCCCTCTTACTTCTCTCCTACTTCCCAGGACTGGCATTCCCAAGCACTGCTGCCAGAAAAAGAATTTTACATGTGTTTTATATTCATATTCTACAGAAGGAGTTGGTTTCACAGCATTGCATTATTGCCCCTTAAATTCCAGTGCTACCCCCTTTCCCTCTTGCCAGTCTTTCATGCACTGACCTTGGAGACACTTTACAGCAAGTTCACACATGCAAAAATACTCTGCTTCTCCAAGCAGGCCACAAATTTTAAGAAGTAGAACACATCAGACTTTAATATGGGAACTTGACAAACCATTACCATGCAAGAGAACCATGCACTGCTATAAAATTGTTATCACAGAGAGATGTATCACGAGCAGGTTGTTCAGGAAGGAGCGGAAGTTACATAGTGCTGAATCGTCCAAAACAAGTAAATGAGTAGTTGGTACAAGCTTTGAGCAAAGGTGTACGCTGTAAGACCCAAATCATTGTTCTCTGCTCTTGAGCTGTCTGGGCATTAAGCCAGTTCCTAGCACACTGAAGGCAGTGAAATTCTGCTACATTTTCATAAAATTAACGTAGTACCTGGGGAGAATACCTGGAGCATTTCTTTTAATTTTATTGTATAAAATGAAAACTGCTTTAGAAATAGAGGGTAACATTTTTCCTAAGCACCTGTGTAGAAGTCTAGCAGTCATAACTCCACTTTTAGATGCATTCAGGTATCTACACTCATGACACAAAAGCAACAGAGGGTCAGTTTGGCAGAACCACATCACACCAACTTGCATTTTTGGAACCTAAAATAGTACCTAAAGAAAATCATGAACAAATAAAAATCATCTATTTTTTAACTCTGAAGGATATCAGTTAATACCCTTTTCTGTTTTTGAACCAATTGTTCCAGTTCTTGTTCTTTTGACAGGAGTTTGCACTCCAGCTCTTGACTGTAGGACTGAAACCTCTCTGTGTCCTGCAAAATTCAAAGAGGAAATGTATTAACAGAACAGCACAATTTTGTCAGCAGGAGAAAACATAAGGAATCAGGCATGAAAATAATAGGCAAGCTTTTCACAGTGAACATAATGAGCTACTGATAGGGATGGTATCACTCTCAAATCAAGACTGAGCTTCTGTAAACTGGTATAGTCCAGCAACTTCAAATCCAGTTGCTACAGGATGTGCTGATTGCACATGAGTAGGCATCAAGTCTACAAAGTGGAGGCAGCAGTCTTCTATCTCAGGCACAAGTCAACCTAAATCAATGAAGCTAGAATGCACGCTCCCATTTTCAGCTACACATACCCTCATCCTCTTATACACTAGCATTCATGGTCATCTGTTGCAGCAGTGTGTTGCTTCAGAGCTAAACAAGCAGAAAAAAAGTTAATAGGTTTCTGCACGTTTGGTTTTCTGAACCAGACAACTGCTGACGCAGAGAAGTGATGAGAATGCACTGATGGAAATAACCTGGACAAATTTAAATTATTATGTAGTCATATTGTAACTCACATAGAAGATACATGGGTTGACATGGGAGATACAGGCTGCTGACACATAGCACAGCAACTCAGGTTGAAGTAAAAGAAATAATACCTGCTATCTTTAAAATCCATGACTAACAACAGTTTGTCACAGATGTTCCACTGGTGATCTGCAAGCAAGTATTCTGGGCTTCAGGCTCTGCCATTCACTTAGCAATTACATTAGTTTGTCCACTACCTAAGTATCCTGTGATCACTGGGAACTCCCAGTCCTATTTGGGATTACTCCTTCAGACACTTGTCAGCTGAGACAAATTGTCAGACCTTCCCAGAGTAAAATCGGGTTCCAGCAGTTCATATCACCTGAGAATCTGTCCTATTTCTCCACAACAAGCTTCTACTCTCTAAGGTCTCCAGGAAAATGCCGCTAAAAAAAATAAAAATTGCCTCAAGACAGCAGTGGTTCCTACATGCTTTCCCCCTTCA